TTGGGGGAATTAGGGGGGGGGAGGGTGGGGCTTGAGGTCTTTTTCCAACAATTGATTTTGATCTGTCGTGTGAATCAGTGAATTTTTGCAGTTCTTTGATACTGAAAGAAGATTTCTTCCCCTTTTTCTGTGTGGTAGCTGCTGATGATACTGTTATATTATGCTAGTGTTTGTTCTTAAAACAGAAATGTCAGATTCCAGAGTAGGATGTAGTGCTGCAGAAGAACTGTCAGATCAGCTTAAAGGTATATTTTATAAAGGAGATGTCACTGATTTGTTTGGTTTTGCTGTTGTCCTCAGTCAGAAGCAAACAGTGCTGCCATGTTTGGAAAGCTGATGACCATAGCAAGTAAGTCTTAATAAGTTCTGTGAACTGTTATTACAGCATTCCTGGAAATTATATTGCTGTGAATCTTGGCATACTGAAATGGCAGATTTATCTTCTGTTAAATTGTATTTAATCGTACAGAAAACCTTCCAGATCCTGGAAAAGCACAAGATTTTGTGAAGAAATTCAATCAGGTTCTGGGTGACGATGAGAAACTTCGGTCTCAGCTTGAACTGTTAATTAGCCCTACGTGCTCTTGTAAACAGGCAGATGTCTGTGTGGTAAGGAAATGAAAAAGCCAACTTTTGTACCTTAAATATTTGTGATTAAAACAGTTACTTGGAGTTAATGGTCTCTTTTGGTACCTTAACATGGTTTTTATATATTCCCAATTTTCATAAAATACCTATTTAGTTAACCTGTAGAGATTACAGAAAATATAATTTATGATCATCATCTTCCTTTCTAAGAAAACATTAGCTTTATTCCTTGCTGGGATAATGAGCATCAAGCATAAAGTCTGAAAGATTAACTTAATATTTTTTAATATTTTATCTCAAGTGTCTTCTTTTATAGTAAGGTCCCTAAACTGTCTTCTGACACTGAAAAAACTTCCTCTGAGTAGCAGCAAGCCAAATAATGTACCATCTGCATATTATTAATTTATTTTTTTGTCCTAGAACATTATTTTGAGATCATTCTCCCTCCCCCCATGCCCCCCCCCCAGTTTAACCTGCTTGGTGAAAATACCTTTATATTCAATCAGACTTTTCCAGATATTTACTTTTTTTTTTTTTTCCTGTTATGGTCCCAAAAGAAAGTAAGCAATTTTGTTAACAGAAACCACAGTAGAGAGCATCAACAAAGAAGCATAGGCTTCTAGGGTTTTGTCTAGCGGCTCTGAAATTGTCCAGGGAAGGGAACAGAATGACCTTCAGAATTATGTCCTGACCAGTTGATGTAGAGAGTATGTCACCTTCTATACTAGTAAATTTTGCACTTTGGGAATGCAATGATGCAATTTCAAGAGGAATGTTTCTTCCCTATTCCTGAAGATAGTTTAGCATAACAGTTAGAAAAGTTTCCTAGTTTGTAGTGTCTGCAGCATCCAACCCTTTAGGAGAAGGAAGGTCCAGAAGTAATTTCTTTGAGAGATTTTTAGACTTCTGTTAAACCAAAAAATGATCTTCTTAGCCATCTTCTGCTGAGTTTGCAGCTGAATTTAGTGTTTCTGACACTTGGGGTGTTCGGAGGGGAGAAACAGATTTTGGGATCCAAAACATTTGTAGGCAAGTACATAGGGTCTGAACATCTGTTTTAGCCAAGGTAGTGTAGTGCTTCTGCACATCTGCAGTAGTGTAGCTTTTAGTGCAGTTTTTTGTTGTTGTATGTGTGTAATTTCATAAACAACAGGGTTACCTACAGATTTATGGATTACTCTTGTCAACATAGGTATTTAAATTCCGTCTACATTGTACTTAGCTCTCCCCTGATGCTGTTTTGGATCTGGCCTACAATTCCTTAAGAAACTGTGAAGAACTCTCAGTAGAAACCTAAATGCATCTTACATTTAAATAGTTTGGTACAGTATGTCTGCTTTTAATATAATGTGATAAAGAAAGATCTGGAGATAACAGCCCCCCCTTAAAATACGTTTCACTGATTATACAGACTATCTCTGTGGTTAAAAGAAGTGGCTCTATTTAGCTTATTCAACATGCTTAAGAAGTAAGTAAAATGAGTATAATTCTTGTTTGTATCTAACATTCTTGTAGAGAGAGATAGCCCGGAAACTTGCAAATCCTAAGCAGCCAACAAATCCTTTTCTGGAAATGGTCAAATTTCTTTTGGAAAGAATTGCCCCTGTACATATTGACTCAGAAGCCATTAGGTAAGTTTGAAAGATCATGCTGACTCTTGGGGTTTAGAATAGTCTGTCCTAGCAGTAAATATGGGGTTTTTGGGGGTTTTTGGTTTTTGTTTTTTTAAAATAAACCACCACATTTTATGTAGATGTCTTCGTTTCCAGCAGTCTGGAAAATGCAGTTTTTTCTTTTGATAATTCTTTGCAGTCTTCTCTGCAAATGATTTAAAAAATATAGTAGTTGTTCCCAGTGAAACTGCTATTTGTGGGGCTTAAGGTGAAAATGATGATCATAATTTTCACATAGTTCATTGCAACACAGTCTTCCATATAGCAGTTGAATTAATTAGCTTTTGTGGGATTGTGTAAGAGAATGTTTGGATTTCTTTTGAGACTGGTCTGGCAACCTAATTACATTCTCAAACTCATGCAACTATGTGTGGATATGAATGCTGCCAATATGGTGGGGATTTTTGGGCTTTGGGGGGGTTTTTTGGGTTGTCTTTTGTTTTCCTTTTCCCCTGAAAGAATTAATTTTGCAGAAAGCTAAGACAGAAGGAAAAGGAATAATAGAACAGCTTGATTAAAAAAAACCCAAACCAACAAAGAAACCAAACAAAAGAACCCAAACAAAACCTAAAACCAGAACCCAAACACCACAACACTTCTCCCCTCAACGAACTGTTGCCTTCCCTTTATTTATTGTCAAAACCAAGTAATCTTGCTGATATCTCCAGCTTTAACATTGTACAATGTCACATTCATTTGCCTTTTTTCTTTTTGTATCTCTTATTTCAGTGCACTAGTAAAACTAATGAATAAATCCATAGAGGGGACAGCTGATGATGAAGAGGAGGGTGTAAGTCCTGATACTGCTATTCGTGCAGGACTTGAACTTCTCAAGGTAACCTGCATTAATGCAGCTATTAGTTGTAATGGAAGGGACAAAAGTGGTATGACTAATGAATTCATGTTAGCAGGCTTGGAATAGTTATTGTTTAGGTAATTAATTTTTTAATGTGTTAAAATATTTGGTTATTAATACTCTCTTGAGAAAAGAATAATGGAAGAGATGTTTTTTTGGAAGAAGTGTTTTTTGAAAAGGGTGCCAAGAGTTGAAATACACACTTAAAGCAGAAATTGATTTTTGCTTAGCAAAGTCATATAGAAAAAAGTGCAGCGGTAAAGTGAGAGGAAGAGAAACAGGGAAATGAGGACAGGCATGTTCTTTGGGTGCTGTATGATACTGGAAGGAAAGCAATCAATAAACTAAGAGGCAAGTTATGTAGAGAAAAAAAAAGAAGGGGGACAGGGAACTTGTGTTCTCAGTTGTGAAGAGAAATGGCTGGGGGAGAAAGGATTTGAAATATCTGGAAAACATCTATGATGGCTTTGGCAGTTCACTAATGAGAGACTTCATTTTCAATATGTTACAAAGGGCAATATGAAATGTAGGAGGGAATGGAGGGGAAGGTTACGTAATTAAAATGAGACTTTTCAGAGGTGGAGTTTATGGAGACATATCACACCAAATTTGGTAACGGCAACCATAGTAGAAATAGTTATATGGAAGCATGCAAGAAAGTAATGTCTGTTCGCTAATGTAGCTCAGAAACAAAATCTGCCAGGGTGAAGGTTTTGTTGCTGTGACATGGATATCTTTGAGAATGTTATTTCACACATTGATACTCACACAAGTAGGCAACTCTGATCAAAGAACCCAAGATAAGATAAATCCAAAGAATACACAAAATACATGCAACTTTTCATTGTTCTCCCTACCTTATGTTATCTGAACTTTGCTATACTTAATGTAGTTTTGCTTTGGGGTAACCTTCTGTTCTCTCTTGTCCTGCCTTGAATCTCTGCATGCTTAATTTCTTGTTTGACGTTTCTCCTATTTAACAGGATATGGTATATTTCATTAGCTTTAGCTTAAAAGGACAGTAATATGTTTTGTTTGTAGATATCTTAACCTTCTTGATTTCTTTTCTGCTTGGAGACTATACATTCTGGAGAAATTAAGATTTCAGTTTGGTTAAATTAAGTTGAAAAAAAAGCACTTTTAAGTAGATTGGAATATAAATGAAAACTCTTGAATAAGTGTTCATTTTAATAAATGTGTTTACATATTCAGATAACGTAGTATCTTGCAGAATATTTGGAATAGGGGAGGACCTGAAGAACAAAGAAAGCATAGATGAATTTATTTGAAAATGCCTATATCACCTCAAAAATATGGTTATTGAATGTAATAATCTCATATGAGCATGTAATAGCTATTTATGTTTGTGGTAATGCTCATGAACAGCCATAATTTTGTTTTTCTGATTAATTTACTGTGAATAAATACACCTTTTTTTTTTTTTAATGTGTATCTACAGGTTCTGTCCTTTACACATCCTACCTCGTTCCACTCTGCAGAGACCTATGAGTCTCTGCTGCAGTGCCTCAGGATGGAAGATGATAAAGTAGCTGAGGCAGCCATACAGATTTTCAGAAACACGGGTCACAAAATAGAAACAGACTTGCCACAGATAAGATCGTGAGTGTATTCCTTTACATGCTGCTTTTCATGCCTGGAATTCTGCCTCTTGATAGTTTATTCAATATGTTGTCCCTAAAATTACTTTATAGTCTTGTAAATATGAACAGCTTCTCTTCCATCATTTTGTATTCCTTCACTTTCTGTCTCTGTTTCTAAATTTTTTTTAAATTCTGCGTTCTTGCAATTTTTGTGTATTTGTTGAAGATGTTAGGTACTTCTTAAAAACTGTCTTATCATAGATACATTGAAAACAGTGTGTAGCATGTTTCCCAGGTTACAAAATAACAACAGCAAAAATACGGCGAAGATGTAATCGCTTGGCATAATTTCTACTCATATCTGTCCTTCACAGAATTTTTCTGTCTTTGTAAGGAATGAAAATAGAATCTCTGATGGTTAGCAGCTCTGTTTGTTATGAAGCAAGTTGGGAAACAAGATCCAAAAGCAGGCATGAATTCTAAAAAAGAATAATTAGCTGTCTGTAATCATAGTTATGCAATTCATGCTTTAACTGTTGATTAAAGCTGCATAATCTACTAGGTATTCACAGGCTATTTAAAGCCTTGTGGGTAACATCTGAAACTTTAAAATTAGCCAGTTAGTAACTAACTAATCCAGATTATAAAGCACAGGTTTCAAGTTCTCATATATTTAAACAGTATCTCTCACATTAGCATGGTACAGCTTAAGTTCTCAGTGAATTGAAGATGTAACCTCAGCGATTCTTATGAATTTGAATCAGGTTTTGAGCGAAAGAAAAATATTACCTCACATGTGAGACACCTTTGAAGACATTTGTAGGGGTGAAGAAAAGGAAAAGCCCAGCAATCCCCTTTAATAGTTTAGTTCCCAGGGTAGTCCAAATTGTCTATAGTTCCGTACTAGAGTTTAGTCAAGACTGTGGATTGCTGCAGTATATCATCTTCTGTCAAAGGAGCTGGTATTGCTGATGTTTCTTTTGGCTTCATACCATAGCCAGGTATTGCTGAAGTATAGTCTGACCAGTCTCAAATTACTTGAAAATGTAACTGTGAGAATGGAGGTCTAGCCCTTGGCATGGTTTGCAAACATGTCACCTTAACTTTCTGAAAGCCAAACCAGGTTGGTATTTACACTGATGCAAAGAAAAAGAAGTCTGAGGACCAGATGTTTCAGATTTCATATATTCAGAAATCTTTATCGTAAACAAAAGATTACATATAATCAGTAAGATAGTTTTTCAAGTGATTGTTTTGTTTAAAACTGCTTGTGTGAGCAGGTTGCTTGCTGTCCTTTGAAGTAGCGTTCACCTAGCAGTAGCCTAATTTCTTCCTCGTGTGGAAAACAAATAGGTTTGTGCACCAGTTCATGGACATGGACTGCCATGTGACTCTAGGGTCTGATGGAAACAGTGGTCATGCTCAAAGAGAGCCTATGGACCATGTGTAAACTTGTAGGTGTAAACAGGTAAAGATGCATGTAAACATGTTGGGTTTCGCCTTTTGCAGATATATGTCAGTTAGGGTGTGACCAGGTATGGTTTGTAACTGATGCACCAGCGCTTGGCAAAGGCCCTTTAAAGTGCATGTAGTTAGACTTTGAAGGTTAGGCATTGAAGTTTATTTGAACTGTAGTTTTACTGAATTCTGATTCTTATTTAATGAAATTTGTGGAATCTTGGCAGGTTTGAGAAGAGACGTTCTCCCACTTTAGGCTACTGTTAACGTTTTTCTAGGGGTCTTTTCTTTATTTTGGGGTTTTGTGTAGTTTTTGAGGAAATGTTTGAGACTTCATCCTTTCAACCCTGCAAGCTCTTCTTCCACCTCTTGTTGCTGATTTTGTTTATGTAGAATGTGTCTGTGAAGACTGGGTGCTAAATAGTCCATGTACTGAATGCTATATTCATAGAACCATAGGATGGCTTGAGTTGGAAGGGACCTCAAAGATCATCTA